TGAAGTGTACCTGAAGTCCAGAGTCACAAAGTTGACTTATGCTAATGAGATTCGCCTTGAGTCTTTCAACCACATTCACATTAGTGAGGGTAGGCAGTCCAGATGAGTCCAGCATTCCTTTTCCAATGATCTTTCCTTTTCGTCCATCGCCAAATGTAACATTGTCACCCGTGTTGCTTCCTTCAAAAGTAGAGAGTCGATTCATGTCACCAGTCATGTGTTGCGATCATCCACTGTCGAAGTACCACTGACTTTCTCTTGAATTCAGCTCTGAAGTACATGCAACATTGCACCTGTTGTTATCTTTCCTCCTCCAGACTTGTCTCCATCTTGGTGCGAGTGGTACCTGATTTCTCCTCCAGTAGCAGTTCACTCTGATATGTCCTCTTTTGCCACAATGAAAGCAACTCCTGTGCTCACGATACTGTTGAGGTCTTTGTCTAGGATGCAGATCAATCTTAATTTTCGTAGTATTCCTTACTCGTGAAATAACTTCATCTCCAAGTTTTCCTCCTGAAACAAAGTTTCCTACTTTGTTAGCATTTCCTCCAGTATATTCGAGCCCAGCATGTCCAGAATCAGTTCCCAATCGTCAGAAGATGCTCAAGTTTTTCTGTACCATTTCCGAGCATTCTTACTTTCTTCATAGTCTCATCGAGCTGACTTTTAGTAAGGTGATATTTTCTTCTTTTTCTTTCAGCTGCTTCTTTAGATTAGTGGTCGTTGACTCATTCTCCTTTTGTTCTTTGATCAATTGTTTCTTCAGGTCAGTGATTGTTGACTCACTCTGTTTCTGTTCCTTGATCAGCTTCATGTTGATATCGTAAAGCTTTGTCATCTCTTTGTACAGATCTTCTTCACTAACCTCCTCTTCTTGTTCCTCATGTTCTTTTGTGTCACCAAAGAGTGCAACGAAATTTGAGTGTTCTTCATCTTCATCTTCATCATATTCAGTTTTCAACTCTTCGTGAGTGAGTGAAGATTTTCCTTTTGACTTCCCACCAGCACACTCGTTCTTCATATGACCATACCCTTTGCATTCATAACATTGAAGATCCTTTAGATTCCTCAACATTGCTTCTCTCTTAGCAATGTTAGGACACTCAGCTTTCCAATGACCAGCTCCCTTGCATTCGAGACACTTTCCAGTGTTTCTCAACTCAGATTTTCCAGCAGTCACTGGCTTTTTCTTGAAAAAACTGTTGAGCTTTTTGACAATCATCATCATGTCCTCGTCTAGTTGACCTTGTGTCAGATATCTCTGGGACATGGAAAGCCATATTTTTGTGCGACGTTGTTGCTCTCTTTGGCTTCTCATACAACTCTAATTCTAATTCATGAGCAGCAAATGCACCAACTGTTTCTTTGAAACTAACAGTGTCTACATTATTTACCATGGTGAATGCAGATTTATGAGACATAAACTTTTTAGGTAAACTTACAAGAAGTTTGGCCACCAATTGTTTGTCTCGGTAGGTCTTTCCAAGAACTTCAGCCTCGTTTGCTAATGCATTCAACCTCCCGCAAAATTCCTTGACACTTTCGTTTTCACCCATCTGAAGCATGTTGAATTGATGTTTGATCAGATCTCTCCTTGTGCGTTTAACACTTGAGGTACCTTCATGAATTAGTT